TGGGGAAGCCACCCATGCAGAGCCGCCAACTGCATGAGGGAGAGGGCTGTGCAGACAAAGAACTTCAGAGACCTGCAGAGACCCCCTCAGGTCTTCAGCTGATCATCACAATGAGATGAAGGTGGGCCAGACTCAGCAATGATGTTCAATAGGTTAGGTTATTAAATGCATTTTTAACTTAAAATATTTTCAGTTAATGTTGGGTTTATCAGGATATAACCCCATTGTAAGTTGAGGGAGATCTGTAGTAAAAAGAGACAAAATTTCAAGTCAGTGACCTCAGCTTTTATCTTAAGAAACTAGATCAAGAAGAGAAGATGAAATACAGTGTAAATGAAAGAAATAAAATTATAAAAATTAGATTGGATAATGAAGAAAATTATAAAAATTAGATTGGATAATGAAATAGAAAACAGAAAAATAATGGAGAAATAACATTAAACCAAAATCTGATTATTTGAAATCAATACAATTGTTGAATCTCTAGCCAGAACAATGAAGACAAAAAGAAAAAAGACACAAATTATCAATACTGAGAATGAGAGAGGTGTCATCACTTCAGATCTACAAATATTAAAGGAATATTATGAGTAGCTTTGTGCCAACATATTCAACCGTTTAGATGAAATGGCAAATATCTTCAAAGGCACAAACTACCAAAGCTCAGTCATTAAGAAACAGATAACTCCAATAATCTTATATCTATGAAAGAAATTGAATTTATAGGTAAAAATTTTCCCACAAAGAAAATTCTAGGTATGCATGGCATCGCTGATAAATTTCATCAACCATTTAAAGAATAACTAACACAAATTCTACATAAACTTTTCCTACTGAAGTGTTTCCCACTGAACACCTCATTTCATGATGCCAGTATTTCTTGATGCCAAACCAGATAAAGAAAATATCCTCATAAACATGGTTACAAAGATTCTTTTTTTTTTAATTTTTTTTTTTTTATTTATGAGAGAGAGAGAGAGAGGCAGAGACACAGGCAGAGGGAGAAGCAGGCTCCATGCACCGGGAGCCCGACGTGGGATTCGATCCCGGGTCTCCAGGATCGCGCCCTGGGCCAAAGACAGGCGCCAAACCACTGCGCCACCCAGGGATCCCGGTTACAAAGATTCTTAAAAAAGCAATACATCATGACCAGGTGAGGTTCTTCCCAAGGATGCAAGGTTCACTTGATATTTGAAAATCAGTGAAGGTAATTTATATAATAATGAATGGAAAAAGAAAAAAAATATGATTGTCTCAACAAATGCAGAAAAAGTATTTGACAAAATCCATTATTCATTTCTAATGAAAAAAAACTCAGAAAATTAGAAATAGAATCTCATCTTGAGAAAAAGCATCTATGAAAATCCTACAGCTAACGTTACACTTAATGGTGGAAGGACTGACTCGTTTCCACCGAGTTTGAGTCTCCACTCTCACCATTGTCAACACGGTAGTGCAGGTTACCATACAGCCTATAACACAAGACAAGAAGTAAAAAGCAGCTGGATTTGAAAGAAGATTTGCTATGTTTACAGACAATATGACCATCTATGTAAAAAATTCTATTGAATCTACCAAAAAACATTGAAATTAATAGTTTAGTTAAGCAAAGCAGTAGGATAAAAGATAAATATACAAAAAGCAAATATAAACAATCAGAAATTGAAATTAAAAACATCTACAATAGGGAATCCCTGGGTGGCGCAGCGGTTTGGCGCCTGCCTTTGGCCCAGGGCGCGATCCTGGAGACCCGGGATCGAATCCCACGTCGGGCTCCCGGTGCATGGAGCCTGCTTCTCCCTCTGCCTGTGTCTCTGCCCCTCTCTCTCTCTCTCTCTGTGACTATCAAAAATAAATTTAAAAAAATTAAAAAAAAACATCTACAATAGGATGGAAAAATGTGAAATATGTGGGAATGAATTCAAAGTGGATCAGTTTTAAATGTAAAATGTAAATATATAAAACTTTGGAAGAAAATATTTGTGGCCTTGGATTAGGCAAATATAATTTGAAAAGCAGAATTCATTAAAAATAATAATGATAAATTGTACTTCAAAATTAAAAGAAAGCAGAGTTTCATTGTTTAATAGAATGAAAAAGCAAGTCACAGACTGGAATAAATATTTGCAAATCACAATTTGACACAGGACTCGTGTCCAGAAAATGTAAAGAACTCTAAAAACACAACAAATAAATTAATAATTGGAAAAGCAAACAGCCCAAATAAAAGATACAAGATAATAAAATTAAAATGGACTTTTCATGAAAGAATATATTTGGATGGCAATAAGCACATTAAAATTTGCTCAACATCATTAGTTATTAGAAAAATGCAAATTCAAGTCACGAGGGAATGCCACTACAGATCTGCTCCCAGGGCTGAAATTAAAAAGCTAACCACAGCGAGTACAGGTAGGAGACGCACAGGTGAATCCCCCATATACTGCTGGTGGAAACATACAAAATAATTTGCTTTGCAAAAGTTTGTCAGTTTCTTAAAAATTTAACCACCTACCATACAGTCCTACGTTATGTCCTAGATATTTCCTCATGAGAAATAAAAGCTATGTGCATACAATAACTTATACACAAATGCTCATAGCCGCTTTGCCCCTAATAACCAATACCTGTTAAATGAGCCAAAGTCCTTAAGCAGACGGAGGCTAAACTAATTGTGGTGTATCCACACAACAGAACACTACTGAGGGGAAAAAAAGGAATAATCTATTGATACATGCAACAGGGTAGATGAATCTGAAAATAAATACGCCTGGTGAAAGATGCCAGACAAAAAAGCACATAGTATAAGATTCCTTTTATGTAAAATTCCAGAAAATGCAAACTACTCTATAGTCAGAAAGTGGACCAGCGATTTTGCCTGAGGATGGAGGTGAGGATGGAGCAGGGATGACTCAGGAGGGAGGAATTAGTGAAGGGCATGAGGAAATGTTTTTAAGTGATGGGGGACTGTGGTGGTGGTTTTACAGGTATATACATTCATCACAGATATGTCAAAATATATTATGCAGTTTACTATATTTCTATTATGCCTCAGTAAAGCTGCTTTAAAAACTAGGAAAACCCAATATGATTGATTTGGTCAGCACCCAGCACACTGCCTTTGAAGACAGAATAGCAAGCACTTGGCTCAGTTTATTGAGTGGATACATATAAGGGAGTGGTCCTAGCACCTTGAAATCATCACCTGCAGATGTGATGGTAGAAGGAAGAAAGCAGAACTTTCATCTACAAATACCTTGTTTCCTATACCCTCACTTTGATCCCACCTCAACAGTTTCATCCCACTGTTGCCATCCCTGGCAAGAGGAGCCACTGGCTTTCCATCTCCAACCACGACTGTAGATGGTCCATACAAAGCACCCATTACCCTAGGTCTAACAGGTGAGTGGTCTACTTCATCATTGTTTTTTTCAGGGTATATGATATAGTCCCTGACAAGTCTTTCCAATTTTGGAAGTCATTATCCAATTTTTGTATTTCTGGCTTAGAGCAATTTTTCTGCATTGGTAAGAGTTAGCTTGGGCCAGACACCTTCCCTTGCTCCCTGAGCATTTGCATTCTGCATTCTGCAGTTATCAAAATGACCAAGTGTGTGGGAAGGCATTTTATTAAAGTAAGTCTCTACGTATTGGAAGGTGTTGGGGTTACTAGGATACCAACTTAGTACCAGGGGTGAATGGGGAAGAGGGTGAAGGGGCTTGAGGTCCAGGCTAAGAGGTCAGGGCCTCCTTTCAGTAGGGATCATGCATGGTCACCTGAAGCAGTGAGTCCCTACACAGTATGGACCCTCCCAGGGGGACATGAAGAGGCCTCCACAGTCTTACTGGGATCAAACTCTGAGAATTGCATGGTCTTATAAATTCTCTTCACCAAACACACAGAAATAAGAAATCATTGCACACGCTTCCTGAAATCTATCCATGGGCCAGAGGCCTGGAACCTAGGAAATAACAGAAGTGTAATTAATTCATTAAAGGTCTGTATAAATACACACTGAAGAATTTATCACCCCACCCAGATCTGTGAAACCGGTGTTTCTCCCTAAGAACAACAAGCTGGAAGCCCAAGGTGTTTCAGGGCGCTCTCATCACTTGCCGTGGAGGAGGAAGAGCTTTGTAGCTGCAGATCACAGGTGCCGGGGACTTACCTATTAAAGTGTCAATGCTCTTTGAAGAGCGCTCTCACCGAAGTTCAGTTCCCGAATTTAACGTCTTAATGCTCATTAACCCCACCTTCAAGCCTCGACCTCAGGAATCCGTAGCGATTTTCTACCTCATTTCCCACCGCAGAAGCGAGATCTGGACGCTCGCGGAGCCCCCCAGCGCGGTGACCCGCGGCGGGGGCGGGGGCGGGCCGGGGCCGGGGCCGGCCGAGGAGAGGGCGCCTGGGGGCGCGGTCCCGTGCGGCGTCGGGGAGGGTGTCTCGGGGCCGCCTGAGCCCCCCGAGCGGCTGCGTTCCCGTGTGGTTTGTGTCTTGGTCTCAGAGCACAATGTTGCTTTCAGCTTAAGTATCTACCGGGAAACCTCAAGGTCTTCCCGTCATCGCCATAGGAAGCAAATCACAAAGGAAGTCGTGTCGTCTCCCTCCCCGCACCTCGCTGGGATTCCGGGTGACCTCAGCGTCTCTCTTCTTGGGTGGTTCCAAGTCTTGAGAAAATGTCTCAAGACCTAGATGCAGCGTCCGGAGAGGGTGCGGTGGACCCGGGGGGGGGGGGGGGCGGCGGCGGTACCTGCTCCGGCCCCCGGTGCCTGGCGGTCGTTCTTCCTTCCCCCCGCCCCAGCCTGCCCCAGCCCGGGTTAGGTGACTCGGGGAGGCGGCCACGGCCGGGCCCGCGCCTCCCGCGCCTCCCGCCCCTCCCCGCTCCGGCCTCTGATCTTCACGGCGAAAACCTGCTCCGGAGCCCGGCGCGGGTGGGAACCGGCGCGCCCCGCCCCCGCGCGGCCCCGAGGCCGGTCCTGCCCGCGCGCCCCGCCCCGGCCCCGGCCGCGAGCGCCGAGGTGCCGCCGCCGCCGCCGCCGCCGGGATGTGACCTTCAGAGCCGCCCGCACGGGATGACCGGAGCCACCGCCCCGCGGCGCCCGCGGCTCGCCTCGGCCTCCCGGGCGCTCTGAGCGCGCGCCCCCGGCCGGGTGCTCGTCCCCACGCCCGGCCCTCGGCCCTCGCTCGCCCCGGCCCGGCCCGGCCCGGCCCCGCCATGCCGCCGCCGCCCGGGCCCGCCGCCGCCCTGGGCACCGCGCTGCTGCTGCTCCTGCTGGCTTCCGAGTCCGCGCACGGTGAGTACCGTGAGCACCCGGGGACCCCCGGCAGGGGACGCCGCCGCCCCCAGGTGCCCTGCAGGGTGCGCCGGTGCCTGCCTCCCGCGCCCCCGACCCCGACCCCGCGCCCCCTGGTCCCGCGCCCCCGCGGCCCCGCGCGCCCCCGATCCTGCGCCCCCGATCCTGCGCCCCCCCGGCCGCGCGCCCCTGACCTCGCTCTTCGACCCCGCGCCCCCCTGGCCGCGTGCCGCCCGCCCCGCGCCCCTGGCCCCGCGCCCCGGGCCCGCGCCCTGCAGCAGCATCCCCGGGCGGAGAGCCAGGAGCCCTGCGCGTGCGGGGCGGGGCGGGGCGGGGCGGGGCTGACGGCGTGTCCCGGTTCCGTCCCGACTCCCTCCGGTCCGGGCAGCCGTAATGCTGCGGGCGCGCGAGGCAGCGCAGTTCCTGCGGCCCCGGCAGCGCCGTGCCTACCAGGTCTTCGAGGAAGCCAAGCAGGGCCACTTGGAGAGGGAGTGCATTGAGGAGCTGTGCAGCCAGGAGGAGGCCCGGGAGGTGTTCGAGAACGACCCGGAGACGGTGAGCGCGCAGGGCTGGCCGGGGCGGTGCTGCGCGGCTTGGCGGGGCCGGGACACCTGGAGCGCTGTCCTTGCGGCACCGGCACCGCATTGGGGACACCGGGTCCAGGGTGTGCACGCGCCGCTGGGAGCCTCGGGTTGCTCCCCGCTCAGACTGCCCTGCTCCAGCTCCTGGAGAACCATGCATGGTGGGGGCCCCTGCTGCCCTCAGGTCTCACACCCTGAATCCTTGAAGGCCACTCAGAAATGGTGGAAGCACAGTGTCATAGGGCCCCCGAGGCTGCCCTCAAGCGTCCTGCACACTTTTTGTGCCCCATTTCTCCTAGTGACTCCAGTAGCTTCCACAGCTGTTAGCAGATGCCTGAGTAGGAGTAGGTCCTCTTGAGACTCTCACTTATCTTCCTTCAGCAGGTCCCTGAAGGCAGCCACTTTATTTTTTCAAAGATTATTTGGGGGGGCGGGGGGGGGGCAAAGAGAGAGGGAGGAAGAATCTCAAGCAGACTCCCCGCTCAGCCGGAGCCCTAATCGGGCTCCATCTCACCACCCTGAGATCACCACCCCAGCAGAAACCCAGAGTTGGGGTTCAACTGAATGTGGCCCACAGATACCGTGGTAGACAGCCACTTGAAAGGAAGTACACAATATACAACACCTCTACTGTTTTTAAGATGTAAAAGAAATAGGATGGTTATGAAGCCAAACAGCTTCTTCCCCCTACCCTCCTTAGATGCATTGGAGGTGAGGAGTGGGCTGCCTACAACCCCTTGGACCCCCTTGGTCCGCATCGAGGGGGATGGAGTGTGTGCTTGAAAGAGGAACTGAGAGACATGAAGTCTAGAACTGCTTGCTACAGCAGGTCCCAAAATACCACTACAGGAATAGGACCAGAACATATGTGGGACGGGAGGGCAGGAGGGCTGGGGTCAGGGGGCCCGGCCAGGGTGGCCTGCATGTGCCGCCTTTCAGCTAGGTGCTCTATAGAAGCAGCTGGGGACTTCAGGAGCCCTAGCTATGCTGGCTCAGGACACATTTCTATTAATAATGTCCTTGGGGAACATGGGGCAGCACGCAGCCTCGGGCAGGGAACAGCCCAATGTGGCCTCAGCATCTGCCCGGGAGCTCTGCCCTCCAACAGGACAGGACCCACGGGACCTGCATGTGTGTCTGTCCTGGGGCAAATGCATTTGGAAAGTGAGAGTGTGGAAACTGGATGGACTTTATACCATGAGGTCAGGGTGATTTCACAGCTGTTTTTGGTTCTACCCGAACTCTTCTTTTAAAGAATCCTGGGGAAAAATAAATAAATAAATTAATTAATTAAGTAAGTAAAGAAAGAAAGAAAGAAAGAAAGAAAGAAAGAAAGAAAGAAGAGAAAGAAAGAGAAAGAAAGAAAAGAAAAGAAAAAAGAAAAGAATGAATGAATCCTGGGATGAAATAAACCTTCAGGCAGTAAATGAATGACTCTGTGTGGCCCAATTTAGGCTTTATGTTCACTTGTGTTTCTTATCAGTTGACATGACAACCCCTCTCTGGCCCTCTCTGGAGCCAGCTTTGACAGGACAGCCAGCCACGAGCAGTTGTCCTTGGGCAAGTTGTTGCCATGGGGCCACTCTGTGGTGTCTTCCCTGGGGCTGCTGCCCTCCCCATCAATAGCAGCTCAGTGTCGGTTTTGTTGTGAGGGACAAGGTTCTGGACCTTCTCTGGCCTGTTTTGGGATTTCTTTAATGATGAGTCCTGGTGGCCCAGTGAGCCATTCTCTGTGGAGCATTGCCGAGGACCAGTAGCAGGGCTGGGTGCCTGGCTGCCAGGCCCCTGCACAGCTGTGGGATTGTGTGACAGGTGTGGTGCTGCTCCCCCACCCCAGACCTGAACCGAGAGCACGAGATGGGGCTTCCAGGTGACCAGTTCACAGCAACCCTGCTACCAGCCACCCTGACCAGGCCTGCCAGCCAGGCCCCACCCAGCCAGGATGGCAGGGCCCTGACCTGGTTTTTCCTTGTTGCCTGGACACACTGTGCATTAACCACGGTGTCCTTCCCAGGGCTTTAATGCTCTGATTTTAATAGCTTTTATGTTTTAATTATAACCTTATTTACAAATGTGTAATACAAAGGCAAGAAAAAGAAAGTGTGCTCATGATTCCCTGATTTTAAGGCAGTCAGCACTCTCTGGGCTCGTCCCTGCATGGGACATCCTGGCTGCCCTCACCTCCTGGGCCTGGCATCCCTGCAGCCAGCCTAGTACAGACTTGTGAACTTCTCTCGTAGCAAAGCCATCTATAACTTCCCAGGGTTCTGCCTTCCTTACTGGCCTAGCTGCAGTAGGACCTGCCTGGATCCTTCCTTTTATTGGCCCATTTCCCAGGTTAGACCAGCTACCTCGCTGTCTCGCCTCAAGGTCAGCTGGGTTTTAACCTATGTTTGTGTCGATGGCAGTGAAGACTGTCGGCTCTGCTGTCTGGATTTAGCCCCTGACTTGTGGAGTGCTGGGAGCAGCCAGGCTGGGGTTGGAGCCAGGGGTAGGGGTCACCCTTGTCACCATGGGGGAGCTCTGCAAGCAGCCAGCCTGTCTTCAGTGTCTGGCTCAGTGGGAGCCATGCATGCCTGCCCGGTCCTGGCTCCAGTCTTTGCTGCTGCCAGGGAAGGCAGTGCTGCCCTCCTGTTCCAATCCCAGGGCTCTGGGGGCACGCTGGCATGTGAGCCCCTGGGCTGGAGTGGGGGAGCTCAGCCCTGCCCCCTCGGCTGATTGGGCTCCAGCACTCTGGGCTGCAAGTGTCCTGCTGCTTTCTGGTGTTTGGAGGCTGTTGGAGCTCTGACTGCATGCAGGGTGTTCCTGCCTGGTCTGGATTGTTCCAGACTAGGCTGTCTTCCTCTTTGGGAAAGGAAGTAACCTTCACAGCAGGTAGCTTCTAGCACACTGGCTCCTTCCTGACTGAGAGAGCTTGGGGAAGCTCTCTCACACCTCTGCTGGAAAGGAAGGGTCTGGGGACCTTCTTGACTCCCAGGCATCCTGGCCACCCACCCACTTCCCTCCTGGGGACAGACAGTTCCCAGGCTCCTGGAGAGGGTCCCAGGCTCCCCACTGCCATAGGGCTCAGAGGCGCGAGACTCCCTCCTTATCTGTTTTCTCTCCCTGCCTGGCATTTCCCTCCCGATCGCTCTTATGCAGTTCAGCGTCCCATTGATGAGACCCCAGTGACTCTGCTGGGATCCTCTAAGCTCACCAGAGCCCAACCCAGCAGAGTCACCTTCCACTTAAATTCTTCAAGGCAGTCGGGTTCCAGATGCCAGATGCCATCTCTGTAATCAGCTTTTGCTTCCAGAAAGGGTTCTGGACGAAAGACTTAGCCAGTGCTGCAGGACTTGCTGCAGAGATCCGTTTCTCTACCTTGCAGCGTCTGGGTGTCTGGTCCTTGCAGCCAGCCACAGCCCTGGCAGGAGGGAAAAAATCCAGGCCCTGGTTCTTGACCCACAACCTCGTTTAGAAATGCAGTCAGTGTGGGTGACACAGCACAGCCAGCAGCACACCAGGAGGTCTTCCCAGCCTCAGTGCTTGGCCACTGGCCAGTGCTTGAGCTCACAGGGGCCCATCTTAACCTCCCCACCACCTCAAGCCCCTCAGATGTGGGGATCCCAGGAGCGGTACAGAGGGTTTTAGGGGTGCAGTCAGCCTCAAAGCCCTGCAACACTGGCCTCCAAGGACACCCGTTGCTCCAAGAGCTCAGGTTCTTTGGGGACAGGCATCGCTATGGAGAGCCCCTCCCTCAAGTCACCCCTTGTTGGGGTCGCCAAAGGGGTCTCATGAAGGCCCCAGCAGGAGGTGGGGAGGAAGGAAGAGGGGGACCTCATGCCCCCCACCTCATGACTTGCCTCTGCAATGTGGTGCCCTGGCTAGGGAGGTGACACCCTGGCCATAACCTCCAGGATAGCCTCTACCTGCCCACCTGTCCCCCACACTCCATCTCTGCCTTGAGATCAGCCTCCGTGGTGCATAGTCACCCATGCATGTTCTCTGTGCCTGCACTCCCCACCCTGCGCAAGCCCAGCCCATTTCCTTCCTTGGGATCCTCAGGGAAAACAGAGCCTGCTCCCACTGACCCCTGTGGACTGAGGCCTCCCCTCCTGGAGGCCTTGAGGAAGCCAGTCACAGGGGCTGGATTTGCTGTTGCGGGCTGGTTTTGCTTCATCTGAGTTGGGCCTATAGATGGCTGGTGAGGCCAGGACCAGTGGCAGCAGGCCTGCTGCCGCAGGACTATGTAGGGACATGTACTAGGCTCTCTACCCCAATAACACATCAGGCCCTGTGAATGGCATGTCGTCCTTGCCAGTGGGCCCAGCATCTGCGCAAAACCAATTAAAGAATTTTGGAAAACACTGAACGTCTGCCTTTGTTATTTAGGAACAAAACAGCCTTTTAAGAATCGGATGCTTATGGCTTGTTTCTTGAGATTCCAGGTCACTGTGGCCAGGACATTCCAAACCATTCCCAGCTCATCCCTTTGCTCCAGGACCCCAGCATGTACCCCACTCTCCCCACACTTCACTTTTTCCTTTCCCCTAATGTTCGGAGCAGGGGTGTCTCTGTGATAAAGCACCTGCAGGGCTCAGGGGGTAGCGTTTGACATTGGACATGTGCCCCTGCAGTACTTGTGTCCATCCAGGATCCTGCTGAGACCCCAACAGGGTACAGTGCGTCGAAAGTTGTTGAACTTTCCAAGAGGAGTTGGAAGTGAGGAGGTTGGGAAGCACATCAGGCCTGTGTGATCACACCTATTACAACCTATCATTCAAATGAAATAGTCACATGTTCCCCTAGTATCTGTTCTCTCAGACTTCTGTTTTCAAATTTGAAGAGTATTTCTTTGGTATCACTGCCCATGGCAATAACACACATTTTTTCCCACATCTGTCCCTAAACCTGCCATCTAGACTCAGTTTGTGGGGGCATATTCTTGGGACCAGGAGTCTTATAGAAATCACACAGCTGGACTCAGCGGCCCCC